GCCTATACTTTATCTAATATTTGTGAATGACTAAAAAAATTATCTAGAAATGGTTCCTATTATATTTGCGTGGATGACAAGATGCTATTATCTATAGACAGACCAAAAAAAGTCCGAAATGGAGTTACAGGAGAAATTTGGAATATTTCAAAAATGGTGCCATGATAAAGGTTTAATAATAAATGAGAAAAGGACTAGAATACTGCATATCACAGCTCCAAAAATTGCAAGAGCACAAGTTAAAATATTCTTTCTCAAAGCTGACTGCATACACAAAGTCTTTCAGAACTGTCAATGTAATAATATAATTAATTCTGTAAGCAAATTGAAATATTTAGGTGTCACTTTTGATCAAAATCTGAGCTGGAGGGACCAGATCTTGGAATTAAGCAAGAAAATAAAACCATGTGTTTGGAAACTAATGAGAATTAAAGATTATCTTATAAAATTTTCAAATAGGTCTACTTTTCATTAAGAGAGTCTCTGATCAGGTATGGAATTGGAGTATGGGTGGCTGCAGCAAAATCACATGTAGATATTATAGAGAACCTACAAAATAAATGTATTAAAAGCCGTAATGAAAAAATGGGCATTTATTTCTTATTTGATTTCTTTTTGCCTGTTGAGTTTCCTTGGAAAAAATCTAAATTCCAATAAAAACAATTCACACATTATACAGTAACTGGCAAACAGTACTGATGATGGGTGAACTATAATCAACAACAGTAATACAAAAAAGAAAAAAAGAAACAAACATACAATGTAACACACCCGTCTCTGACAAGTACATAAAGTACTTACAGAGGGTTTGAAGTGTACTGAATAAGATAAAATAAATGTAATAAATATTTTTAAATTTAAAATTTAAATCTGATAAGACCAGTATTTTTACTGCAATGTTAAACAGGATGAATAATGTATGTAAAGTAGTTGAACAAAATTAGTATTCTTTCTTATTGTTTTTATGGTGATGGTTTTTGTACACTGTCAATGTAATTCATTTGGAAATAAATTATTAATTATTTATTATTATTATTATTATTATTATTATTATTATTATTATTATTATTACACAATCGCGGGTATCACAATTTTAGTCACAATATTTAAAAACAGGGAATTCTAGTGGGGATATTTTTTCTCTCTTCTCATAATTATCACTTTTTAATAAAATAGTAGTTAATATTACTATAAATATGTGTTTTTATTACTAATGACTTAACTTACTTTATGACTAATACACTTAATCTTTGATGGTTGAATGGCCTCTGGCTCAAACATTTGATTTGTGATAGTATTCTTTTTCTTTTCCAAATCAATTTTAGTGTGGGTGTGTTTGTGTCCCCTATAAGATAATTGCACCAAAAGATCTAAGGTGAAGGGAATAATTACCTTCATGAGGCCGGAGTAGTCAAAATATTTACAATAACCTTTCTTTTCAGATATAGTTGTAGTCTTAATAGGTTTAAATATCTTCCTCTATAATAATAATTTAGTTTTTCCAAGACAATTATGTATTAGGAAAGAGAAATTAACACTGTGCTAAGTCACTTAATCTGACAGGTTGATTGTTATTGGTGCCTAAAGCTGACAAAAGAACCTAAAAATGTCACAAACAAAGTCACGAATTAATTTTAGTAAATTATGATTTTTAATAGTGATGATTAAACGTAATATTAAACAGAACACATATGAAATCAGTTCAGGTATACAAAGTTGTTTGGATATCAGAAATTAATTACTTATCTTTTACATCAAGTGCTTTACTAAATACATATCTAACCAAAATCTTTTGCTGCTGCTTTATATTCTCCTTCTATTTACAGTATCTCTTGTTTTCACCAGTGAGTTCTTATTTCACCAGTGAATTTATATTTTGGGGTCCCATATTACCTAAATTTGCAGAAAGGGCATATTAATTAAAATGTTTTGTTATGCTGACATTCTGGGAACCTAAGGTTGACTCTTCATGTCAATATCAGTTTCTGGACCAATTAGACTATTAAACGTAATACTCTCTATTTATGATACTTTCTACATATTAACACAATATAAAGATCTCAAAATTATAATCATCCATAGGTGCTAACAAATTTTCGAGGCCCTAAACCTAACAGCGCACCTAATATTGTTGATCTAGACTCAAGTAAAGTAACAAACACATAGAACACTTCTGAATTCTTTCCTTGGTAGCATCCTAACACTCCTATATTATAAAGCAAACTCATTTCATATTGTAGTTCTACAGACAAAATCAAGTTTCTTATAAAATTCATAAGAATTTCTATGGATTATCTGTTCACCCTTACACATGTCAAATTATATGACTATTAATCTCAAGATAAATAACTTGATTGGAATTAATTACATTTATTACCTCAAGCTAAGATCTGGACTATTACTGCCACTGTTTTATGAACCACCATAACTACTAGAATGCTTATTTCTCAAATAATTATCCTTGCATGTCAGCTTTAGATGACCTATCTACATTTGGAGACATTACCTTAACTGTTGCCAATTATTCCTATGAATTAATGTGTAATTCCACTATATTTCACAATTGAAAGGCTGAAAGGAGAGGATATAAGTGAAAGAGATACTAATGGTTTTATTGAAAAGTGGAAATTAGTGCACATCTGCAAGAGTGAAGTACTAAATATTTTGAAGACAAAGGGATACGATTGAATTCACATCTACTTTTATCGTGGCACTATTTTTAACAGGAACAGCCCAGAAGTTTTACTTGCAGTTACTCCAATTGTAATTGGGCTATTGAAATGAATCAAAATGCATTTTGTAGGAAATTTTAAGAAATTTTCAATTCTCTTTGGTCAATTTTCTATATATTTTCAAAATTTTCATGAACAACCAAGAGAGCACACTTAAACTTTGTTGAAGAAGAAATTAGGAATATGGGTAATTTTTATGAAATATCATGTAAACAGTAACTTTTCTCTTGTTTTGAAACTAAGTCAACTTTGTTATGATCATAATAAATCTCTAAATTTATGTAGAAAAACAATCATTATTTTTGAGAAAATAATAATTTGAAAAAAAACAGAGATTTATAAGTTATGCCAGACAAAACACAGTGAAAACCACATTTAAATCACTTCTGCTATTCCAGAGAATACCCAAACAGAAATCGTTAAAAAACAATTGAAACGGATTTTATATCATCTAAATAAGCTTATGAGAGTACAAACAAGCAGTCACAAACACTTCACTTTTATTTATAAAGATGTCTATTGCAAATATCCAAGTGTGGTAATTAATTATTATGAGGGTTTTTGATTTACACAAAAATGAAGATATATGGGTTTCAAAAGTAAGCAAAATTCTCGTGGTAGTCAGGATAAATGGGAATAACTATGAGTACTCAACCAAAGTAAAGTTTTATGAAAGAATACATGTCTGGAATTCATAATATGCACTGATATATTTTTAAAATTCCACACCATTTACATTATTTTTCGTGAAATCACTAAATGAAGACAATGATTTCCTGGGCTTGAAAAAACATTGGTAGTAGAAATAGTGTAGCAGAAGTATCTCCAATGTCTGTAGAAGTTTAATTTGAAAGGTATAAACCTGTATTGCACATCCTTCCAATAATACGTACCATGAATTCATCACAAGTTTTATACAAACTCTAAGTTTTTCTAATTTAAAGAACAAACTGTAGAGTATAGTTTATGGTCTAGAACAGGAGATGCCAATGGGTTGGTATCAATATCCTGGGAATCAAAGATGATCAATGGATCATTAAGTGAATATGATTCAACAAATGATGGGTATATTCAATATCAAATTCCCATTGATTACAAAAATATATTTAAATGATTATTAACTGCTTGCTAATATAAAGCTACAAAACTTTTAATAATAAATTATAAATTCATTCCTTGTTTGAAATTTGACATTATTCACGTTAATGAAAATCAAGTATTTAGGCAATTAGAATCTTGGTTTCGTTTCTGAGAAGTTTTTAACATTTGTTAAAGGAAAAATTATATTAGTTCAAAAGTAAGAAAATGTACAAGTAATTATTTTCTTTGTCTTTTTGTTAACTGTATGTCATGCATTGCAATATAAAATTATGTTATATGCTGTACTCTTTAATTTTACTTAGCAATTAAAAGAGCTGCTTTTACAGAGAACAGTTCATTTCTCGTAAGTGAGTACTAGGCGTAGTCATTAACTTATATAACATAATTTTTCCTTTGTCTTTGTTAAACTTATGCTGAATGTCCTTTTCTATTTGTTTTCTTATTTTCTGGATCAGGTGTATATGTACACTCGACATGCACAGTTCATTCAAATGATCCTCCGACATTGTTGAATGCAGCCAAATTTTCTGCTGATATGCCTGGTATGGTTGATATTATGCATGGTTGCATCCCCTCCACCGTTTCAGAGCAGCCTAAGAATATTGGAAGTCCTGCCTAGATTGCCGTAGCAATGAAAATATGGTCCGCTAGCGCATTAAAGTCTTTATTGTGGCTCTTGAGGCCTTGCAAGTTGGACACCCCTGGTCTGAACGCCCATTCCGCCCTTCTTATGTCGCCATCGCTGCGCGCTTCCGGCTCCTAGCAGAGCATTGATTTGAATGGAGGTCTTCCCACGTACGGCAGCGGACTCTCTCTACGCGAAGCGCAGGAGGACATACGCGCCACGGCTAGCAGTACACAGCTTTAAATGGGAGCCTTCCCACTGCGCCGCGCCGTTCTACCTGCTCCGGTCCCTTTGTTCGTCGTCGCCGAAGGGTCGGTGAAACCTTCCCCTCCAGAACCCACCCCCTTCCATGGCGGTGCGGCCGTGGCGTGCAGCGGTGGCGGCGTCGGAAGAACCCTGCCGCCTGACGCAAGAGCGCCGCCGTGGCGACGTGTGACGGCCACCTCCTCCCCACTGCTTTAGCCGCAGCGGCCTAACATCGACGGGGCAGCCAACCGTTACGGCCTGCGCTCGGTCCGAGTCCAGCTTCATGTCATCGCCTCATGTCTCATGTGTACTCCTGCAGCTCAAACAGAGGTTTCAGGAGATCGTAGGTTTGGAAATCCCAGCTTTTAGCCACCAGGGTTGCAGGAGCAATCCTGAGCCACGCGGTACCGTTTCAGTGCACGTGGAGCCGGGTGGACACTTATAGCGATACTATAATGTTTAACAGTAATCCACACGATGACAATGGGGAAATGTTTCTCCAGACACAAAAGCCATGCATCCGCACTGCCATCTTAAGTCCCTGATGACAATGGGGAAATGGTTTTCCAGTCACAAAAGCCATGTATCCATACTGCCTTCTTAAGTCCCTGTAGATCGCACTGACGTCGAGACTCACGCCTCCACCTGACAAAGGTTCCGTTTTAACTGCATCATTTGTACTCTGGAACTTTACTGTTTGCTCACCGGGGAGTAGATGCTGCACCGCATGCATGATTGCAACACCCAGAATCTTTGGCCCTTATAACCTTCACAACAGAAACTTGTTATTATATATAATGTGGAACTCATCAGTGTGTTTCTGGGTTTAAGTGTAATTTCATAATTTGTTTATTTCTTTCTCTTGTGCGAGGAGAGAGGATCGTACTACCTGCCGCGCAGGCACCAGAAGGCAGAGATGTTTTAGGCACAACAGACATCAAAAATCTACTACTGTCGTTTCTTTTTGTGACACCAGGGGAGGTTCCGGATTTGGGGACGCTCTTTGGGACTTTGGTTGAAATTGTTTCGAGAAACTGCCAAATCATAGGATTGCTCTCCGAGGTCTACTCCTTCTCTGCCTCTGGGTGAATTTCTGTTTCTCTGTCCTCCTTATACCAAATTCTGCCCTTCTCTTTCTTTGTTCTCTTAAAAGATCCAATATGATGCCAAAATTCTGTATGACTTCGTCATACGCCTGTCTACCCAGGGTGATTTCATGTAACTTAAATGTTCATTGTTATAGGAATAAAGTTTGCACACATAAGCAGTACGCGGGTCAAATCGTAGCTTTTCGTGCCCCGTCATCATCCGCGTTACATTCAAAGTTTCGAACCAAACCGGCCAAGTCTGTAGCTGCTTCCTCTACAGACTATTTCGTACCGGTCTTGGTTGTAAAATAGATCTCATCTTGTGCCGAGTGGGTGTCTTAAATATTAGCTTCTTGCGTTGCAATACCCCTATACTCATCAGGTTGTCAAGATTGATGTATGTTTTTTGAATAGACAACAAACCGGGTAGAGTCGACCGCGCTTTTTCAATGTCAAACGTGCTCTCGTAAGCGAAGGCATTTACGTATCAGTTGTAGGGACATTTGATTATCCCCATATTAATAGGACGGAGAGTTGGATGGATCTAGCTTGCTCAGTTTCGTCAGAAAGGGTCCATGACCAGTTAGAATTCGGCCCATCGCAGAGGATGGCTTAAAGTGCCTGATTTCTCTCCTAAATTTTACGCCGGAAATTAACACATTCTGTCTCCGCACTCTCCCACCTGCACTGTTACAATGCGTGAAATTCTTTATTGGATTATCACTGTATTATTCTACTGTTGCACCATTCAGACAGTGTGCTACCTCCCGTAATTTGGTATTTCGCGGGCAATGATTAGTGTTTTCAAAGCAAAGGGCAGTTCCCCTGCAATAATCTGAAGGGCTGCGATAGATGACGTGCGATATGCGCCTAACATGGCCAGAAGTGCGACCAGAAGTTTTGTTTAGTTCACTTTTAATTAAGGTCTTACTAGTTTCAATTGCCTCGACTGAGGCGAAGTACCTTATGATTGGAATAACTGTGTAAAAGATTTATAAGGCTTCCATTACACCGATCCCTGCAATAAGCCATTGCTTATGAAACATACTTAACTTTGTGGCAGAACATATCACATGTGCATTAAATTATAGTTGTGGATCTAAATGAACTTGTTTCGAATAGCTGGTACACTGTTTACATCATTTATACTCAAATTTAATTTGTGCCTGTCCCAGTGAAAAATAGAGCTTTCTTGTATTTATCTCGCAGTAGCTTCTGAACATTATGTTTTGCCATGGTTGCACATTCATCACAACAGATCTTCCTGACCGACGTACCTTCACGTTTCAGAAAATCGTCTATTTCGTAGGCAATAGATTTAGCATTCATTGTATTCAATTCGGCAAACCCTAGAAACTTCAGGAATGTATATCTTGTCATAAAAAAAACGAATACTAATGAACCACAAATGTCATCCGCAAGTATACTGTAGACACAAAGTATCTTTCTCTTGTTTACTATGGCACCTTCAAAAACCAACCCGCACAAATTGGATTAATTTTGATCATGAAATTAATTTTGGATTTGTAGGGACATTTCCTAACATTTCTATTGCCCTTTTTCATGTGTCTCCTAATTGTCTCATAACCTGATTCGATCCTTGACTGTCACAATTCCTGAAAGTTCCTTCCTAGGGATTCTTTCCCCTTAGGAATATATCGTGAGTCCCACAATACATGATTGTGAAAAGTATTGACAATACGTTTTTGATTTTCTTCGTTAATTTTGTGATGTCCAAATAACCATGTCAACATGATTTCTGATGTCCATATTATGTCAACACGATATTGACCAACTCACTTTCCAAGAAACTCAGTATCAATTTTTGCTGCTTTATGCTTTTGTTTTGAATTAATTTTAATTAGCTTCATTCATAAACCAATGATGCCCCCCTCTAAAATGATCAGCTGGATCCGCCCGAGTTAGTCAGAATGGATATACAGCATCACTATATAGTCTTCCCGAAATTATATCTATTGGCAGTTCGTGATATTGTGTGGTGGCTAGGGACCAAAAAAACAAGTGTTCCTGTTTATGGGCATTTATAGTTGCTATATCAATATAGACTAGAATATGGTTCATATGAACTGGTTTATCCTTTTATTTCTCCATTAACTTTTGAAAATCAGTTTTCAGTGTCTTAAAAATAGAATTAGTGAAAAGTAGACAATAGTGAGACTAGTATTGCAATTCTATTTTTTTTAATTTTCCGATGAATTTATTTTATTATTATTATTATTACAATTTGTATTTAATTTAATAAAATAAATGTTTTGAGTAATCAAGTTTTCCTGCACTGATTTTTTAACAACTTTAGGTTATCACATGTACCCATTTGCTACTGACGACAATTGATACGATACATCCATGGCATAAAAATAACAATTTCAGTTTTTAAAATTTTGGAAGGATTTTAACAAAATATGCGGTAATAATACATGTAATTCGTTTTTATACTTACGACAGCTAAATTATAGGAATAATATAATACTAAAGACAGTAATCACGCATCTTTTGAAGTCAAATGACCACATTATCCGATTACAGTTCCAAAATAATAAGAAGTATTTCTACGAAAAAATCACTAATTTTGTGGTGATTAAAAACTCAAATGCAGTAGTTACAAAATTACTAAAAAATTTTTTATCAAAATAAAAGGAACCTTTAATTTTTAGAAGCTTTTAAATTATTGTTCTCTGTTACAGAAGGGAAATTGAAAAGGACATGACAGAATATAGAGAAGACTGGAAAAACAAATTGGGCACAACAGAACTGCATGTGGCTGCCGAAAATAACGACATTCAATTGGTATCCAAGTTAGTAGAGAACGGCGCAGATATCCATGCTCAGAATAAAGATTACCAGACCGCCCTTCACTTGGCCGCTAAATCGGGCGCCGTTGAAGTAGCTTCGTTGCTGATTAAGAGTGGCGCTAAAGTCAATGCAGTGGCCAGTGGTTACTCGGCTCTGCACTGGGCTGCAGAGAAAGATCATAAAGACGTTGTCACTTTGTTGTTGCAAAATGATGCCGACTTGCACTTAAGAACATATATAGGTACCCCATTGGCTAGAGCTGCGGCAGGCGGCGCCGTTCAAACCGCAGCTCTGCTTCTAGAGACTGGAGTTCCTACACGATACAGATGGTGGAGTTTGGCACTGCGAAATGCTGTTGTAAGTGGAGCTGCCGAAATAGTTTCTTTGCTCGTTGAGAAAGGCGCAAACGTTCAAACTACTTACCAACAAGGATGGACTACCTTGCATTTTGCCGTTAAGAAAGACAATTTACAATTAATTTCCTTGCTGCTGGAGAAAGGAGTAAATGTAAATGGAAAAGACAAATACAAGCGCACGCCACTACACGTAGCTGCAGAGAATGGCGCAGCCGAAGCAACGGCCCTCCTACTTCGGAACGGCGCCGATTTACACGCCAAGGACTATTGGAATAGGATGGCATTGCACCTAGCCGCAGAGAACGGTGTAATCAACATTGTCTCCTTGCTGCTGGAAAATGGAGCCAACGTCAATGCAAGAGGCGAAAATATGAGGACAGCCTTGCACTATGCATCGAGTAAAGGCTTCGCAAAAGTAGTCTTTTTGCTGCTCAACAAAGGTGCAAAAGTGTTGGTAAAAGACAACGAACGTCAAACACCGCTGCACTGCGCTGCAAAGGCGGAAGCGGCCGACGTCGCTACCCTGCTGTTGCTGAACGATGCAGATGTCAACACAAAGGACCAATACGGTTACACTGCATTGCATCTGGCCGTCGATAGGAGAGCCGATGATGTCGCCACACTTTTAATTCAATATGATGCTGATGTCAATGCCCAAACAAATGGCGGCACCACACCTTTGCACTTAGCCGCTAGAAGTTGCAGCATTGACACCACCTCTCGGCTGTTGCGAAACGGTGCCAACATCAATGCAGCGGGCGGTTTCTATGGAGAGACTGCTTTGCACTTGGCTACCAAGAAGTGTGCTTCAAATGTTAGCCCCCTACATCACAGTGTAGATAACATTAAAGTAAAAAAGAAAACGATACCACATATCGACGCTGAACAAGCAGCAAGCGACACTGTTCGCCTACTTTTACAAAATGGTGCTGATGTCAATACAAAGGACGCTAAAGGTCGCACAGCACTGCACCTAGCCGTAAAAAATGGTGATGTTGATATCATCTCCCTGCTCTTAAAATTGAATGCAGATGTTGACGTTCAAGACAAAACTAATAACACAGCTCTTCACTTGGCTGCTGAAATGGGTAATATTGATAT